CGTCTACCCATTTGGATGTGTAACAATATAGGCAAAAAATATCTACAATTAAAACTAGAGGCCCACAAAACTCAAAGGAATATAAAATTGTGCAATTAATTGGTAAAAGAAGAGAATTTGAATGTAAAAAAAAGGGAATACAAAAAGATACAGTAAATAATTATGAAAAAGATTAAGATACTAGGTATACAGAGCTTAGAGGAAAATGTGATTTAATAGAAGAACTAAATTAAAGGTTTAAAACTACATTCTGCATAAAAATACTAAAGAGTAGCTGGAATATAAAAAATAAGAACACAAATAGACTAATAAAATGGGAAAAATAATACTGGATAAAACTCAGAACCTAGAAACTTAAAAGAACGATGTGAAGGAGTTATTTAATAATGGTGAAATACCAGTGCAGCAACCAAACCATCTAAACCAACTGAACCACCCAATACAGCAGAAATGAAAACTGCACAATTATCTGATACTTTCCAGATCAAAACCCGTTAACGAATGCTGTTAACAGAAACTATATGCTAACACACACCTTCGAATATTCAAGAAACATTATATTAATACACATTATGAAGAACACAATTTAAATTGATGCTCAAAACTTGTAAGAAGAAACCATTTTCTTTTGTAGGTACATATAAGTTCTTTTTCAGAAATGCAGATATGTAAATTTTTGAATAGACTATCATAAAGCCCTCGATAGTGTACAACAATATTTTTCAATTAACTGGTATGAATGAAAAAGACCTAAAAAATTATATTAGAACTGCACTGGATCGACAACAATTATAGAAGATAAAGAGAGGAAACGAGTGAGTTCAAAATTAGTAATGGATAGACAGGGATGCTTATTCGCCCCACTGTTTCTAATAGGTACTTTAATATTTGCTCTAAATCCTAGGTTATGTATTTTAAAAACATTACATAAACAGGGAATATTCAATTTTATCAGATATGCAGATTATACTGTGATATTATCTGATAGTTATTCTTCAAAGTAACTAAAGATTGTCAAAAATGCAGGCTAAATCACAATACCAACAAGACAAAACTCATAACAGATTATATAATAACAAAGAAATCATTGAAAAAAACAGAGATGTATATAATGCAGGTACAACAATAAATGCCAAATAGAACCTTTAATTGGATCAAGCAAAAGAAGATCCAGTGAGACTGGAAATCTTTCTAGCACTTCGAAAAAAAAAAAACGAAAAATCATGGACTCTGACAGATGCATACAGAAAAAAGTGATCCATAACGTAGCATCCGCAGGTCAAATAAGTATTGAGAACACTATACACAAAAATTTAAGATATTTTTTCTTACTGTTGTTGTGAGAGGGATTTTAAAAACCTCCTGGTTTGCCGGAATTACGTACTAGTGCTCGAGGAAATATAGATAGTAAAAAAATGGACGATATATTTAATGTCTTAAAGTAGATTTTTTGTAATCAATAATATAAGTGACAGACTATAGATAATATAGAGTGAAACTGTGGAATTTGCAATCTACAAAAACAACTTGGACCTTCGTCAGTGAAATTATAAAAACTACGATTTCCAAAAGGAAGGTAAAATCAAGAAGAAGATTTAAGACAGTTGGATGCTGGTACAAAAATTAAAAACAACATTCATATATAAATCAAAATGTACAAATACGTAAACTAGAATTGATTCTGTTGAAAGATCTAATGTAGGACGACCAAAAACAAATATGAAATAATTTGATTTCGAAATAAATAATACTATAACAAAATCTATATTTTCTACTGAATTGATGAATGCATTATATAGAGAAATAAATATTCTCATTGCAGTGTGTTCCTTCTTTTAAAAAGTTTAGTAACGCCTATGATACAATTTGCATTTTTTTTATTTATGACCATTTGAGTTGGAGATGATATACCTAGTTCAAGAAACTAAAAATTCTACAAAATCGAATAAATATTAAAGGAACACGATCCAAGTAGCCAATTAAACACTTTTACCATTTAAAATATGTAGTTTGACTAAGGATTTAGATAAAGCATTTATATATTATATTACTTTTGATATTATGAAGCAGGAAATTCGTTAGGCGGTTGAAATATGTTTCAAAATTATCAAAAGTATTCTTTCAGCAATTATTATTTTATGAAAGATAAAAACATTCTCCATATGTATTCGTGTGATTCTGTTTTAAATAAATTTGCAATATAAAAATGTTACCTCGTTTTCTTATAGGTATATTTAAATTTTCTATTACCTTCTTACTACTTTTAATAACTAAATATATATTTAGTAGCTATTTTGAAGACCCTTTCTCCAGAATCATTTAATGAACAATTTGTTTTTCATTTTAACTATATATATACTATATATATAATATATATATATATATTATATATATACTATATAAATTTATATTATTATATATATATATATTGGAAATGTGTCTTGTTTTCTTGTTTACGCAAGTAGGTACATTTGGGTTAGAATAATATTGGCTTATTAAAATTACTACAACCATTGAGACAAGAAATTTTAAATGATTTTGAAATTCTTCATCATTGCATTGGTTTAGGACATTATATTCAGCCTTATCAGTTAGTACCCAAACACTAAAATAGTTCGATAAACAATTTTCATATGGAGTATAAAACATACATTAATTTTTCTGTGAAAAAATGTAAATGATTAACGTAGACTAAAAGTTGGACAAAACTACTCAGAACCGTTTAAAATGGATAAAGGACTTCAACAAGGATGATGCCTATCACCAATCTTATTTAAACTTAATATAGAAATTCCTAAAAAAACTGGAACAAGAAATGTTGACAGATGGGAGTAGAAATTGACGACAACTATTAGCAGCAGAAAAAAGCGACATCTCCTACTTAATAAAAAAGCTGGAAGAACAATTTGGAAGCTAAGGTTTAAAAATTAATTATGATAAAATGCAATACATGAATATGTAGAATCAATTTATATGTAGAATTTGGTGTCAGATTGTTATAACAATTTTTATATTTTATTTGTAAAATAAAAATAAATTTTTAGTAGGAATTTGGAAGTTGAGGTCTAATTTATTATTAGTTACGATAAAATGCAATACATAGATATGTAGAATGAATGGATACATAAATTTGGTGAATTTGGTGCCAGATTATTAAATATTTTTTATTTATTTTACTGTTAGTAGTGCCAATTTTGTCGTTCAAAGAGTTTTGATTGTTTCTGTAACATTATTGATTTTAATACATATCATTTTGTTATATTTTTTATTAATTTTAAATTTATTGTACTTTTATATTGTATAAAATATGATTTAATTTATTTTCTGCAAAAAATTAGACAAAAATGCTTTACACAAAAAAACAAATTTTCAAATACACTACAAATTGGATTTTTGATTGTCTGTGTTTATAAATATATATTTTTTAAACATTTTAATGTTTGATCTACCAAAGGAAAAAATTCCTGTGCAGAGAAATTAATTTTTGTGGGGGGCAATAGAAAAATAACAAAACCTAAAGGCAAAGATAATATATAGACAAATAATTAGAAAAAAACGAAAGAATCTACTTATAGAGTGGTAAATAAATATATAACGTGGATTTGAAAATCATTTTTATCAATATTAAATTTGTAAATAGAGGAATATTAGCCATAAAATAACCAGTAATTAAGAAAAAATGATGGAATGAAAGTAAATTGTCCTATAAAACTGGTACTTAATAGAAAAATATTGTGGAGGCGATATTTGAAGAGTTGTTAATCTAATATTGATTATATGATGATCATTTCTAAATCCACTTGTTTCGGCTACAATAGAATTTCGTTTCGTTTTTTTATTTATTTATTTTTTGTTTTCTTTAATATTTCAGATCCAATTTCCCCATTAAAAGTAAAAACATACTTTTAAAACTTTTTAATTTTTGTGTACAAAATGTATTTCTTATATAGCACAGAAAAATCCAGTAGTTTAAACGCAGTAATGTGTTTTCTTCCATTTTGCGAAGATTTTAACGGTTTTATTGGAACATATTCTTTTGTAAATTTGAAATTAGGAATTACAAAGTCTGGTAGCTATGAAAACTTTCAACTTTTAAAAATATATTCGCAGAAATTAGCAAAAAATATAACTTGAGTTTGAATACAAAGAAAACGTTTATTACAGGTAATCTTTAATTCTGAATGAATAACTCTTTTGGGGATTAAACAACAAATACACCAAAATAAAACATTTTATTTAAATTTTAAGCTTCCAGTTGGAAAAAAGTACAATTTAGACATTTCTAAAACAGTTTTTTTTACGATTTACTGTCAGTATAGAAGCATATAATTTTTCTTAGATCTTAAAATTTGTAAAAGAAAATGTGAGATGAAATTAAAAAAATAATAGTTATGGAATTTAGTGGACTAACTTTTCTTATCATAATCTCAGTTTTTGTGACAAAATTATCTTCGTATTCTTCACAGGTTCCAAATTTTTGCCAATTTAATGACTGGATTCATAGTAGACTTGTCAAGGACTTTGTAAAAAGTTGACTGAATAATTATTCACATACACAAATTTTCAAATTAAAATATGTCGATTTTTAAGTTCATTTACATAAAAATTTGACACCTATCGTATTTTCAAAACATAAAATAAACGTGTCATTAAACGTGGGGCCCACAATAGTGACAGCCCTCGGTCAGCTTATATCGTAAAAACCAAAATTTGTCTACTTTTTTAGGGTATGGTCTTGAAATGAGTATTTTGCTGTATTTTTGTTTTTTAAAAGTATAAAATAGACGGATCATTGAATGTAGAGCCCAAAAGACAGTTAAAACCTTAAAAAAACACACAATTTCTGCACTTTCTTTAGGACACTTTTTTAAATCTTATTTATGTCCGAAATCTCATTGTATATACCTCATTCAACATAATAAATATATATTTTAGAATCATGGTCAAGAGTTGTAGATGTGAAAATCTGTCATTTTTTAAATAAATTTGAAAAAAAATGCTTACCTTCCACTTTTCGTTATCACCATCTCCGTCCCCAACTTATGAAACTTTTCCCATAAGTCTTTACCCTCTAGAGTCACTTTGGGATCATCGACGACCCCGTCCTCTTCAGGCTGGATGGCTCGCAGAGGCCTAACCATCGCAGGATGGTGGCTGTGGGCAGCTACGGCGGCGGCGATGACGACGTCTTCGGCGGTGGTGTACGGATGGCCACTGAGTGCATGGTGAGCATGGGGATGATTAATTTTTGGTATAAGAGTTCCGGGATAGCAGCCGTGAGGGCCTTGTTGCGCTCCGAAAGCGGCCAAAGCTGCCGACGGAAAAAATCCAGGTCCCGCCGGCGAGTTGGAGGAAGTTGTGTTATTGTTTGCGGCCGTTAGCAAGGAGGATACACTAAAGTCCGTCTGTCTTGGCAGCTGCAAGAAGGGATGATAGGCCATAATACTTTTCGACTTACTAGAGTCAAGGACAGAGTCTATTCCTGTTTCGAAACGCATTGGTTTGGATTTAACGCGGCAGAATCCCACAGATTCCTCCACCGCTTCAAATGAATCATAAATAACGGATTTTGAGAATTAAAAAACTTTTAGCATAATTTTGAGTCCCGCGGTAACTGAAGCTTATTTGCACCTTGTCATTGTTTCTATTTTTCACTGATTTACACTGTGGCACTTCACTATTAAAATCTTGTTTAAAGTTCACGCACTGATTTGTTAAGTTTTCGCGACGAACAGTCAAAATCTATGTGAAATAAGGGTTAACAGTTAGTGTGAATCATAACACCTCTATCCCGACGAAAAGACAGTAGAGGACTATAGAGCGAGCCCCACATAGGCAACACTTGGCTGTGTTAATGATGGTAACGCCACGCTATTGGCCGACGGGTGTCAGTGTTGGCGTTTAGGCCAATCGCAGGGCGACATTTCCCCCTCTACTTTCACACTTCTGGTGGGCAGGAGTTTCTGGGTTATGCCTATGGAGGTGTGGCTGTGGCTTTTTTAGACGCCACCACGGTCGTCCGGGCTTTTTTGTTTTGTCGTTTGGCGTTCGGGGACATTTTCCGCGGGTGGTTTTGTTTTTCGAAGGGTATTGCTGATGTGCCGATGTCAAGTTGGCTTTGAAGATTCTCTCGACGGACGGCTGGAAAAGAAATAAATACAAAATTTTATTCTTTGATCTACAAAAAGCGCAATATTTGTGTACACAGCGGCAAACGAGAGTGGAAATTGTTTGTGATTATTACAAGAAAAATTGGTTTTATTAAAATTTTCACGACATATAGTTCGACTTTATATAAAATAATTTATTTTAATCCAACTACAGTTTCTACAATTTGAGATTTTTTAAATATTCTACTTTGGTGTCGCTCATTGTAAAAAAGAATTTTTTATTTTAATTAAAACTTTGAAATATTGCAAATTAATGTATAGAAAAATGTTGCAAGCATTATATCTGTGTTTTCTTGCTTTTATTGGCAACTTCTGATCAAAATCAAAATATTTTGTAATAATCAAAGAAATAAAACAAAAATAGTTTAAAAAACCATTTTTTAGGGTTTCTTCTAGAAATTGGAATATCTGTGGAAAATTTGTATTGTGTTGGTTGTAAATTGGCCTTTTTTTGTAGATTCAGTCATTACTTCACAGTATTCAGATTTTAATCAGTTAACTGCAGATTTTTATAACAGTAAAGACAATATAAATTATACGCTTTTTCATCAATATTACCTAATATATAAAAAAATAGAGTAAGAAAAAAGAAGTATTTGACCGAACAAATAAAAAAATATGTTTGGATGAATTGGAGTCAATAAAAAGCGGCTATTAGGAAATTATTCAAATCATGAATGTGTTGCTTGCTTGAGTCCATTTCCTATAGGTAAAGAAATAATAAATAGGACTTACTCACAATCAATTTAATTTAACTATCCAGACGACTGGTTTCGCTTTCTACAATATGCAAAGCATCTTCAGGTCTAGATACGAAGTTAAATAAATGCTGAAATAATAATAAACCCATATTAGGGTGTTGTCTAATAAAGATAAACAAAGTAGATGATATAAATTACAGTAATTATGCCAATATTACATGTCTGTGATTTTTCAAAATGAATAAAAAGGTATAAAAAGTTTTAACAGACAAGGTAAGAGCCACAAATTGTTATAAAATAGTCTATTAGAGTGTAATAAATTAATAAATGAGCAAATAAATAAACATTACTTACATGCCAGTACTCTATTAATTGATGGATGGTAGAACATGATTGAAACTATCATGTATTGTTAAATGGAGAACTTAAGTCTGCTATTGTAGTTGTTTGATAATAAACGGAAAGTTCTTGAGGAGATAGATTTGATCCAATGAAGTAGAGATAGGTTTAATGTGATTGTTTGTTGGATGAAAGTGATGTTCTATACCATTGTATTATTTAAAAGTTATTTATACTTATTCGAGAGATATATTTATGAATTGTGTGTTATTTATTGAGTATTTATTTTATGAAGGTGACAGTTTTATGACAACGAATAAGATTAGATGTACAAATTGTGTGGGTGTGCAATTCTTTCAACTTATTTGATATTTAATTTGAAATTTGATAATTAGGTTAGGTAAGATAATAGGTAAGGTAATAACCTACAAGTTGAAAGAATTGCACACCCACACAATTTGTGCATCTAATCTTATTCATTGTCATAAAACTGTCACCTTTATAAAATAAAATCTCAATAAATAACACACATTTCATAAATATATCTCTTGAATAAGTATAAATAACTTTTAAATAATTCAATAGTATAGAACATCACTTTCATCTAACAAACAATCACATTACACCTATCTCTATTTCATTGGATCAAATCTATCTCCTCAAGAACTTCCCGTTTATTGTCAAACAACTACAATAGCAGAATTGAGTTCTCCATTCAACAATACATATAGTTTCAACCATGTTCTACCATCCATCAATTAATAGAGTACCGGCATGTAAGTAATGTTTTATTTATTTGCTTATTTATTAATTTATTACAATTAATAGACTATTTTATAACCATTTGTGGGTCTTACCTTGTCTGTTAAAACTTTTTATACTTTTTTATTCCTTTTTATTCATTTTGAAAAACCACAGACATGTAATATTGGCATAATTACTGTAATTTATATCATCTACTTTGTTTATCTTTATTAGACAACACCCGAATATGGGTTTATTATTATTTCAGCATTTATTTAACTTTGTATCGAGACCTGAAGATGCTTTGCATATTGTAGAAAGCGAAACTGTCGTCGATAGTTAAATTAAATTGATTGTGAGTAAGTCTTATTTATTATTTCTTTATCTATAGGAAATTATTCTTTATACTCAAACTTTCAATTAGGGTGTATACCAGTTCGCTCCCGCGGTCAGATTTTAATACCCCACAGAAAAGGGGCATAAGTAAATTCGCTCCTGCCATATATTTCTTAGAAAAGATATTTGAATAATGTCTTCTTAAACTTTGTATTTACCTATTAATACAACACTACCATCATTGTTTAAAAAAGAATGAGACTTTTTTAAACAATGCTACTATATAACACTACTTCTTACTTAAAAAAATATTAAAATTATAACGATAATATCACTAAAGTATTATGATGTTAGAGCTCATATTCTCTTGTCCAATATTTGATTGGGTTTTTTCCGTATCAGAAGTTGCAATTGATATATTTCTTTGAAAAGATTGGTAGATAATTAGTAGTCTACCTGAAGTTTTATGATAAGAAATAGGGGTGGTGCGAAATCTTAACATTATTACTTTAGTTCCAATTTGAATGTCGTTATACCTAGTTCATGATGGAGAAATCTGAAGTAAGTGAAATGTTAAGTGAAAAGGGCAAGTCAATGTTAGTTATTGACAATTACAAGTATAACTTCCATAAAATGCTTGCTCATAATATCAAACGTTGGCAGTGTGTAGAAAGAAGTTGCAAAGCATTTGTTAAAACTTAAATATTTGTAACAGTGTAGTCGAATGTAGTCATAACCATACCATGAAAGTTTACCAAAAACAGTGTTAAACCGGCATAAATTAAGTATAGTGTTAAGCGAAAGGCAATGGATGATTTGTGTGAAAAACCATTAAAGTTTATACACAACGAAATTAAACAAACAGGCACTAAAAGTCTTACAGTGGAAGATTAATGATAGAAAAAATATTTATAATGGCAGAAAAGAAGTTATCCCAAAATTACGAAGTGTCGCAGTAAGGACCTTAACCGATGGAAGTGACAACCAACCAAAAAGAACAATTTTCATTGAAAAATGATCCGGTAAAAAAACTTGATGATTTTTCTTGTGTATCTAACTTAACATTTTTAAGTAAATTAAGTAAAATAAGTTAACAAACTCATATGTGACTGCCTTAAATTATTTAAAGACGGAGTGTCAAAAATTCAACTTAAATTTTAGTCCCAAGGTTGTGTATGCTGATTTCGAAAAAGCGATCCATGCAGCTGTAAGTGAAGTGTTTCCATCTGCGAAAATAAAAGGATGTAGGTTTCATCTCGGACAATCATGGTGGAGAAAAATTCAAAAAGTTGGTTTGGCTACTGAGTATTCAAACGAAAATGAAGAGTCGGACAATACCTAGTGAAATATTATTAGCACAACACCAAGCCGTACAACAATTTGCTGACTACTTGGTGGACAACTATATTTCTAAAGAGGCACACTTTCCTTCTGAGATGTGGGCAGAAAACAATTCATCACTTGAGATTACAACCAATGCCTGTGAAAGTTTCCATTCTAAATTTATTTCGTTATTGTATAATCCGCACAATAATATATTTCAATTTTTAGAAGTTTTAAAAAATATTCAAGTTGACACTTACATAAAAATACGAAGTTCTGTGAAACCAAAAAAAGAGAACCGAAAAGTACTTCTAGATCGTCAAAAATTTGTTGATCACAAAATAGCGAAATTAAAGCAAAATAAAATTAATAGATTTGATTTTGTCAAATGTATTTATTTAGATTTCTAGCGAAATAAATGCCTTGTTTTAATTTATATTTGTTTAATTTTGTAATGGTAGAGAATATCCCATATTATGTTAGTTTTTACACTTGTATTGCTTTCTAATTATTTCTTTATTTCTAAATTATTATTTGTATCTCTATATATAGGTATGTATATACCTATATTTTAAGCACAAAATTATTTCAGTAATTTTTAAAAACAATTCAAAATTTCTAATATAATTTCTAAATCAATCTAATAACCGGCAAATAACGCATTATTAAGTTGTGAGATACGAGGTTTCAAAGCTCGGAGGAGAAGTTATTATCGCATGGATCAAAAGCCATTCTGGGATAAAGGGTAATATAATAGTAGATGCATTGGCAAAAGAAGCATTATCAAGCGGAGAAACCATAGTCAACAATATTCTACCGGTGTCAGATATAGATGTATATAGTAAACAACAGCTCAAATTAAAATGGCAAGCCAATTATACGGAATCCGAAAGACAGTCATCATTTAAATATTGGCAACCCACACTTCTTAAAAAAAGGTGGTTTTATTCAGAGTCTAACAGAAGTTTTATTAAAACTATTAATAGGCTAAGGTTAAATCATGCTCTAACACCTTCAAGAATGTACAAAATGGATCTA